GAGTTGTATCCTTTAGGAAAAAAGAATACAGTCACCCCCCCTTCAATTAATTTTATAAAACCAAATGCCATGGGAATGTATTTTGAAGATTCTGTGTATTCCTAAGGAGAGCAAAACAAGCCCAAGGCCAAAAGGTCAAGCCCTCTGGATCCATGGGAAATACACTTCTATATGCAGTTCTTGCACTTGAAACTTCAGTTTGTTCATTTTCTGTGTGTTTCAGGGGCTTGTGCTGTTGAAACAAAGCATCCAGAAGCACACTCTCGTCCTAGGGCAACACTTTCTAAGCGAAATTCAGCAATAGAAATGCCTTGCTATTGAGTTTTTCAACATTGTAGCCACCAGCCACATTTGGGTAGTGATCATTGAACTACAGCTAGTATAAATGACGAAACAGATATAAAATTTAAAATCAATCATTTCATATTTGAAAGAAGACATTTGATTAGTAGCTTTAAGAAATAGTATAATTCTAAGTTATATAGGAAAGAACAGTTGGTGAAATATGGGACTATCTATCTTGTTTTTGGATTTTTTTTGAATGTTTTTGAATGTTTTTAATGTTTTCAAATTTCTCTCAGCAGGAATTCATTTCTTGAAGATTCATTTTTGTGACTTGAAATTACATGTATGCATGCATTTATCTGTGTGGGTATGTGCACATGTGAGTGCAGGTGCTCTTGGAGACCAGAAGAGGGCATTAGATCTCCAGGAGCTGAAAGTATAGGCAGTTGTGGGCTGCTTGATGTGGATGCTGAGAACTGAACTCTGATCGTCTGAAGACTATCAAGTGCTCCTAACCATTGAGCCATCTATTCAGCCCTGCCAGTACTATTATATGAGTCTTTACTTTTCCACATTTTCATTACACTGTTTAATTTTGGACACTCTGTAGGTCTGCACGATAATAAACAGATTTAAAAACTACATGTAATGATGATTTGGTAGGTAAGGGATCTTTCTTTGTAGGCATGAGTTCCTGAGTTTAAATCCACAGCATTCACACAAAAACCCAAGCTGTGCAAGTCCCACACAAGAAAGCAGACATAGTTGGATATCAAGAGTTCACTGGTCAACTGGCCTAGCTAAAACACGATCTTCTAGTTCAGAGACACTGTCTCAATGCAATAATGTAAAGAGCAATAAAGGAAGGCCCCTGATGTCTTGCTCAAGCCTCTGCATGCATACACACAAGCACTAGGCAGGAATACCCATACACTCACATGCATTTACAATGTATACTGTATACCATACCCCTACACACATTATCCGTGGTAACAAGAACAATAAACCAATTCAAAAAACAACTGATGAATGACTTTTTAAAATTCCAATATACATTATGGACAAAGAACTATTATCACTAGTATCTCTAGAACTGTTACCTTTCTCTTAAAATGGAAAAACAAGCTGGGCAGTGGTAGTGCACACCTTTAATCCCAGCACTTGGGAGTCAGAGTCAGATGGATCTCTGTGGGTTTGAGGCCAGCCTGGTCTGCAGAACAAGTTTCAAGACAGCCAGAGCTTCACAAAGAAGCCTTGTCTCAAAAAAAAAAACCTACGTAAAAAAAGATAAGTAATGGAAAAATAAAGGACTAAAACAAATAAAATAAAAAGTCTTCAAATATATGAAAAGTATTCAAAATTGATTACAGCTTAATAAACATAATTTGGACAAACTAGGCTTATCATTTCTCTCTTATCATGCTGATAGACTGTTACAAGTGGGATACTAGATTTCCTTACCAGGGTGGTGAGAAAAGAACCTCCTTTTATAATGTTGGTGCTGAAAATGTCAACTTTTAAGATAATTATAGAGGACAACTTGGAAATACCTAACAACACTGCAATCCTGTGTTGCAATTTCTTGACCTTGAAATCTTAATTTTAGAAACTTACCGTAAAAATGCATTTTCAGCAAGATCATACCCACACACACACATACACACACATATATACCTCCCCCACATATATACACACATACTGTTTTCATTGTGGTATTGTTTTTCATTGCAAAATACTAGACATAGCCTAAAGAGAATGATGGAATCAACTGTCAAATCTATATTAGATTATTAATGCAGCTATATATTATAAAAGAAGGATATCTATGAATGGATTAGGATTTGAATATATTATGTCTTAGTTAGTGTTTCTATTGCTGTGATAAAGCACCTTGACCAAAAACAAACTCAAGAAACCAGATGTCAACAAACTAAACAATCCAATTTTTAAAAATGGGGTACATTACTAAACAGAGAATTCTCAACAGAGGAATCTCAAACAGTCAAGAAACTCTTAAAGAAATGTTAAGCATCCTTACCCATCAAGTAAATACAAATCATAACTTTTTTTGTGATTCTGTCTTATACTTATCAGGGGCTAAGATCAAAAACACAAGTGACAACTCATGCTGGCAAGGATGTGCAGCAAGGGGAACACTCCTCCATTGCTTGTGGGAGTGCAAACTTGTATAGCCAATATACGTATTCCTCCTCCTCCTCCTCCTCTTTTCTTCATTGTGTATTTGAGCAACTTGGAAATTTGATTTTGTATGACAGAATCGCAACCATAATTTGCAAATTACCCACATGGAAGCCCGCTGGCATCTCAGTATTTTAGGCCCTATTTTAAACCTACTCAATCCCAATTTCTCTCTTAGCACTATCCCACTTGTGCATGGACACTCTGACCTACAAAATTTATAATCATGTTCTGTATGATGTATGAAAACATTAGACATGATGTATTTGTAGGATATTATTGTTCCTGATTCTTTTTTTTTCTTTTTCGAGACAGAGTTTCTCTGTAGCTTTTGAGCCTGTCCTGGAACTAGCTCTTGTAGACCAGGCTGGCCTTGAACTCACAGAGATCCCAAGTGCTGGGATTAAAGGCGTGGGCCACCACTGCCCAATTGTTCCTGATTCTTAAGAACAAATGAGTATAGAACTCTTAAAAAAAATATCAGAGCAAAGGAAAAGTGGAATCATGAGTAATTTTATGAGCTTAGTATTTAGGGAGATAACACACAAGTTGCTAAATAATTTCATGCTCAATTTTCATGATTCATAAATGGTGGAATTTTAGGTTTGGAAAAGCTATTATTTTCCAAACAAAGTCATGCCATGATCATCACATTTAAACTTTCTAACTGAATGATCCACACATCTGCTACCCCTTCCAAACACGTGAACAGTGAACCACATAGGAATTACATAGACATCCAAAAAGAAGCATTTTCTACTCAATTTTAGCACTAATTTTAATCTTACAAACATCCTCAATTTGTGGCTTACATTAAATCGTATTTAAATCTACTAAATCTATCCTAACTATTATACTTTAAAGTTCTAAACAAATAAAGTTAAATTTCACTTATTAGCATAAATGCTAATATTAAAATTAAACAAATCAAAAGGGAAACCTGGAGATTATGAAATATATTTTAAATCGAATCTACGGCTCTTAAAATCTCAAGAACAAACAGACAGTATTCAATATAGCGCCGTTAGATGTCAACTGAGAAACCACATCTAAATGTTTCAGTAGGTAAGGTTCTCATATAGCAACTGCAGAGTCTTCTAAAGCTCGATATATTGCTGTATAAGCTATTAAGTTATTGTTTTCAGAGGGAAGAAGCTACTTGGAAGAAAAGGTTAAAAATTGAAATGTCACCATCTACATTCATGGGATGTTATTAATAAGATGTAAAAGATAAAACTTGTTTTCTGGTCTTAGGAAAGGTTCTGGTAAGCCTTCCAGCGCCACTTGTATTTTGTTGCTAGTCAGAATAAAAACATTTAAAATGCCTCACGAAATTAAAAAATGAATATTTTATAATTTTACCTAATGCTAATCTTGAAAATCATAAATAATTTTGTGAGTATAAGGTCATACAAACACATCTATCTATAGCATGGGTGTTTCTTGGTATTTTAAAGTTCATGATAACATGATACTTGATGTCAACTGATTTCTTTGGTCTCTAGTTTTGACTGTAGTATTAAATTTGTGACAAATATTTATTTTTGCGGAGATTCCTAAGTTCTAAAATAATGTGCACATTTCCCCAATGTTTTATATTCTTTTTTTGATATCCTACTACTTTTAAAATAGTGATGTGAGAATGATAACAGGAAAATATATTATTCATACATAAAATACACATTCTTACTTGTGTTATGTGATAATACATTTAATCAGTGAATGCAGAAATATTTTGCTAGAGATTGAGACCAGTGATCGGATTTCCAGCACTTAATGCCGAAAAACCTCCTTCTCCTCAGTAACCTTACAGCCCCCCAAGCCAGGGTGACTTTATCAAATGTGAGGGTTTAGAAACAACAAGCTCGTGCCAGCATAATGCTGAAACATAAATAGAGACTCATCATTCAGAAGTCTGGAATCAGGAGAAAGCAGAAGAATATCAACATACAATTTTTTTTTTTTGCTTTTATATTATCATCAAACAATGTTTTCGTACTTAGGGAAATGGAACATTTGACAAGGCTTGAAATGGCTCACAAGAATGCATCCTGAAATAAATCCTCTCTCTCTCTCTCTCTCTCTCTCTCTCTCTCTCTCTCTCTCTCTTTCTCTCTCTCTCCCTCTGTGTGTGTGTGTGTGTGTGTGTGTGTGTGAAAAATTAAAATAAACATATTAACTTATTTAACCAACGGACTCAGGAGCTTGAACTTCAGAGTACAGTCTGAATTTTAACAGATTACTTGAGGTTAAAATAAAATGTCTTATTCTTCTCAAAGATCCCATGTATGTCTACTGACTCCAAAATATATCGAGTTTGATTGGAAATGCAAAACCAAGATACATAAATAAATGGAATATTTCAAAGGCCTTGGAGTAAAAATGAGATGCCATGGAAACCAAATGAGACAAGTGAAATCGCCCTTGGGTTTTATTAAATGAAGGAATAAACTCATCATCTTTTCACAGGACTCTTGTTTAGGTTTACTTTTAATTTCCCAGGAAGAAGAGCTTACCTGGCGAGGGGTTCGTTCTGACTTACTCCTGCACCACTCCCAGTCTGAAAGATCAGGTTTCTGACTCTCCTCATGAGACAGTCGTCTTTCTGGACCTTCAAAAGTGGTGGTTTCTTCATAGTTAATATCACTTTCTGTTTGAACAGAAAAAGCACTCCTTTCCCCGTTCACGCAGGGTTTGACCTCTGGAATGTCTAAAGTATTGGTGCACTTGTTGACGCCCCCTAGTGTGGTGCTGTCCACCGGTGGCGTGGTGCTGATTGCTACTGTAATGGCATTGAAGACGTTGCGGTTGTCTGCCCCAGGCTCCTTTGTAGCTTCGCACTCACAGTTCTTCAGGTTGTGATAGGATATGGAGTTTTCATCATCCTCATAGTAATCTGCGTGTGATATTTTGTAGATTCCGTAACTTTGTTGGAACGATAGATTGAATTCAAAGCCTTTCCTCTTGGCTGAATGACAATAACAAAATTCCACAGTTAGTACAGCAGATATAAACATCATTGGATGTAAATAATGAGTATGAACAGGCACTTTTTTACCTGATTACCTGGAACAAAATATCTTCAGTTACTTATTGTAACGCATGCAAAGCAATATGTCTTACAAAACTCAATCGTCTTATTACTCTGAGCCTAATTTCTCTTACAGAAAGAGCCCCCAATCTTAAAGCCTCATATGACCAAAACTTAACTGTGAACTAGAAAATTCTCAAATATATCTAGTTTTAGTTTCTCGGTTCATCATTTTAAATAATTTGTTTACATTTGTTTTGTGTGCATGGGTGTGAAGGTGTCGGATCCCCTGGAATGAAGTGATAGACAGCTGTGGACTGTTATGTGAGTGCTGGAATGGAATCCAGGTCCTCTGGAAGAATAGCCAGTGGTCTTAACTACTGTTATCACTACAGCCCCTCAGTTCACCAATTTTATAGTTTTTATTTTTTACTGTAAAATGTACTATATTGTCTACTGCCCTAGAAATTGATTATAAAATAACTTTCATATTATGATCTATTATGAAGATATAATCACTGCAGCTGTTTTTATCTATATACTTCTGACATTTATATCTGCAATGATGCACATTAAAATGAGAACATAGTTTGACATGTAGCTTTTAAGCTTCAAATAAATAAATAAATGAATAAATAGATTAATCTTCTCTCTCTGACTGTCACTATGGAGGAAAGGGTGGTGTTGAATTCTCCAAGTAGCACAGGCTGGTTTTGAACCCTTGGCCTTTCTTTCTCAATTTTTAGGCCATAGATGTGAGTCATATTTGGCAACATTTTACATTTCTCATACAAATAAACTCAGAATACATTTGTTTTTTTTAAATGAATGCGTGTGTAATTCTGTGAATGGATGCATTTTTAGAGTACTCTCAAATCTGAATAATTACAAGGTAAATTTAGCAAGGATACATAAATTTTATTAAACAGTCAGAAGAGCAAGTATTCCAAATATCACACTACTAATTGTTGGGTAAGGCTCAAAGTCTTGGAAGATAGTGTACAGAAAGTGATGCAATATTTGTATATGAGTGTCAGACAACAATAGATAACTTTTGTATATTAAGAATCAACTTATATCAAAGTGATAGTCAAATGCAGTTTGATACTTTGTTTTTCATCTTTTAAACCATATTTTGTTTCAAGAGAACTTTCTGCTCTGATATCGCAATGCTTTACAGTTAGGCATTTAGCTATCTTTGGTAAAAAAAAAAGAAAAGCTATAAAGTTTTTATGGGGATAACACATAAAATTTGATTCACTTTGTAACACACTCTAGTGCATTCACTTGCTCATTCTATTACTGAAATGTTCTGAGAGCCAAAGATTTACAGCTCAGTTCTGCTTCCTGGAAAATAGAATTAATCAATATCCTTCATTTTGTGTGAGCCAGCACATAAATAAGAAAAATTTATATCAAAAAATTGAAAAGTAGAAGCAGATGATTGTATCCTGTATACGGTGACATTTATAGTTCTACTTTATTCTTCCAGTAATAGAGTCCGGTAAAGTTAAGTTGTAACTTTTAAGATACTTTCAGGCTGAAAGCTGAGGAACTGCAGAGTGACATAATTATTGATCGATTCCCCTTCTTCAAAGAGATAAAAAGTGAAAAATTTGTAATCTAGAACCACCCAGAAAATAAGGGTGCCCATAAAACACCAATTTTATGATTCATACCTGACTATATAGTGTCAGTTGTATATTGTAACTGAGAAACAGTAAGTAAAAAATGTGTAACATTTTAAAGGCATGATCGGAATGTGCTACTGGAGCATCTGTTTCCAGGTCAGGAGCACACAAGGAAGTTTGAGGTAACAAGAAAAATGGGGGACCAGTGAAAAGGCTCACTCAGTAGATAGAGATGTTTGCAATTCAAGTCTGATGACCTGAGTCCACACAGTAGAAAGAGAGAGCTATCTACTCAAAGTTATTCTCTTACATATATCATCATATATACATTAGATATCACGCACCATAATGATAAATACCTATTGCAGAAAGAAATTAAGATTGCCATAGTAATTATGAGGTGGTAGTTTCCTTTTCCTTCTCTCCTCCCATTCTGCCCTCCCCACCCACTCCTCTGTTTCTGTTCAGAAAGGGGCAGGCCTCCCATGGACATCAACAAAGCATGGCATATCAAGTTGAGGTAGCATTAATCTCCTCCCCTTGTAATGCTTGGTAAGTGTATATACTATTCATAAGTGGATATTAACTATAAAGTAAAAGATAACCATGCTCAAATCCAAAACCCCAGAGAGGTGAGGTAACAAGCCAAAAAAAAGGAGCAGTTGGTATTTCCCTGGGAAGAGGAAATAGAAGAGATCTCCTGGGTCAACTGGTAGTGGGTAGGAATGGGAACATGAGGGATTGGGTTAGGGGCAGTAATTAAACACTTTGTGTTTAAAGCCACTGCACATGTGAAAATAGGAAAAAGAAAACATGGCTTCAAAGATAACCTTTTATTTTTAGAGTTTTAAAATAAATGCTAACAAAAGTAATGGCAATTTTAGGGGAAAGCAATTATTTTGATCTTGAAAGGCTTGTTTTCACATCCAGTGTGGTGCTAATGTGACCACTGATTCTATTAACCTGGCTATAGGCTCTCCCAGCGTGTGTGTGTATACTGTGCAATGGTTTCTTGTTATTTGAACGAGTGTCTGGTAACATTGCTTTGGCATTAGTTAGTTCTGATATGGGTGCTTCCTAATTTTTAAATATGTTTGTCTAACCCACTTCACCAAGACTTCATTCATTTCCACTGGCACACGCTTACCTCCCTCACAATCTTAAATTTTCTAAAACAGAATCACTGCCCTAATATAATAATAATATAGCATTTGTCAACTATTAGAAACAGATTTTAAATAATTTCTTCCTGTTCCATAGTACAGTGCTTGTACCTGTAAGTGGAGCAACAGAAATTGAATTGGCCAAACAAATCACATCGTATGCAGAGACATGTCCTGAACTTGAGCAGTATGCTACTAAGAAGTTTGCTGAAGCATTTGAAGCAATTCCATGGGCACTGGCAGAAAATTCTGGTGTGAAGGCCAATGAACTTATCCCTAAACTTTATGCAGTGCATAAACTTGGTGCAGTGCACCAAGAAGGAAACAAACATATGGGATTGGATATTGAGCTGAAGTTCCGGCTGTATGTTAGATATGTTAGAAGCCAGTATTTTAGATACTTACTTGACAAAATACTGGGTTATTAAATTGGCCACTAATACTGAGGACACTGTACTTAGAGCGGATCCGATCATCATGGCAAAACTGACTGGTGGGCCCAAGTCTTTAAGGGGGAAGAAAGACTAGGATGGTGGCCAAATTGACTGTGGGACATTTTTGTTGTAGGTGAAGCATTTTCTTTGTAGACTGGAACTTTCCTAATGTTTTCTTAGTCTCCCTAAATTAAGAAGTATTTGTGTTTGCACTCTCCTAGGTGTTACTGTTAACACCTGTTGGATAAACTGCTCTTTATGCCAGGCTCTTTAAACACATAAGCTAAAGCAAGGCAAGCAACTTACATGACTGCTATCTTTGTTTACCTGGCCTGCTTCTGAAAATAAATTGCTATAACCACCAAAAAATTTGTAAATTGTGCTTGATTTACTATCAGTTGTGTCTGTGGTTATTGCTTTAGCTATTAATCTCTAGAAACACATCATTATTATGATATAGCTATTTTAAAGACACAAATAAATTTGCCATTTATTACCAGTAAAACAATGATATTTTTGACAATAGAAATATATTCAACAATTGGAAAATATCCAGATGTTCAACAATTTAAATATAATCAGCACATGAAAATGGTCAGTAATTAATATTTATAAAGGTAACCTTGTTCAATTGATTACAGAAAAATACTATCTTTAATACTCTCTAATTTTTATAACCCTAAAATGATCTGGAATAAGCTGCTTTTATTTAATCTTTCTTCTCCATTAAAGAAACTATACTTGCTTATTCAGTGTGAGGGACAGTTAGCAGAAGCTATTAATCATACACTAAAGAATCATCCGGTTCATTTAGTCTAGTGCCTATCTTTCATCTAGAATGACAAAACATGTCCTTTCAGCTTCAGTAGATCAAAATACACATTCAGAGTCTTGTTTTCCTCCCTTGCCATCTTTTCATTGAGAAGAGTAGGAATCATACTGCTTCTTTTAATAGATGTGATCGGGCTCTATCTAATCTCCATACCTATGGGAATCTATGTGACCAGACTCTATCTACTCCTGCCTCTCCTGAATACAGCAACAACTGCCCTCTCTCCCCCCTTCTAGCAACACCAACAGCTTTTTAGGGTAAATAGCAGGAGTAGACTTTTAGGTACAAAACCAAGGACAACCAGAAACCCTCACCCCTTTTTAAACTTGGGGATTTTTGCTTATTGGTAGATGTTAGGGGTGTAATGCGTTTCCAACTGTTGGGGAACAATGTGAACATTTATTGGGGGACTGTTTTCAAGCAAGATGTTTACATACTACAGAAATTTTCCAATATCTTAGGGGAAAATAGGCATCAAAATAATGAAAACACCTTTCTTACTGTTCTACTGAATAGAAATAGCTCAGGGAGGGAGTTTTATGTTCTTTGGGGGAGTTTATTTCTTTTCAAATTCTGGCTTCTCAGCAAGGCTGCTCTTCATATGCAGGTTTGGGAAGAGAGATTGATTTTTTACTTAGGGCTAAAGGTGATGAAGGAAGTAACATAAAGAACTGTGTTGATATCAAAGGGCTGACTTGAATGGGCCTCCCCCCCCACAACACCCCTTTTCTACCTATAAAAGTCACGAATGAATCAATATTTCGCAGGGTTGTTTGAATTCTCCAACACTAAGCTGAAATTTTATCATTTCATCTCGTTCTTTACCATGTGTATCTGTCCTAGGATTCTCACATCCCGCCCCCAGTAACTTTCTCAGTAGGTCTTTTGCTGCGTTTGAGTGCACGTACATTTCCCCCTCTGCCACTGGGGAGGACTTACACTTTTTCCCATCAAACGCACCGGAGTAGGTGTCTGGCTGGCAGTTGATGATGCAGCCACAAGGCAAGTGGGTCCAGCGTTTGGACAAGACAAACACTGGGGTTACAACGTTGGACAGCAGGGTTAGTAGAAAGCTGAGGGTATCGACCGGAAGGCTCTGAAATCCCACCACGTGTTTTACCACCATGTGGATCTGAAAGGCAAAGAACTTCAGACTTAAGCCATTCATTCCTCTTTCCCACTTTCGAAGTCTTTCCCGCAGCCCTCACTCCGTTGAAGTACTCTATCCAAGCCCCCTTCCTTGATCAATAGGAGCTCTGCTTCCTGGCTACACCCCCGGGGCTTCCGTGGCAGGATCTTGGGAATGCATGGGACACATCGCAGTGCACAGGGGCGGACAGGTTGTAGTGGTTTCCTTTCTGAATGCTCGGCCTGCACCTGCTGCCCTTTGAAATCTCTACCCCAGGAGGCGGGCAATCTATAACCTAGAGATGCTACGCAGCGAAGGGGCAGGAATCGGTGGGACTTGTACTGGAAACTCCAAGCACTAGTCACTTCTTGTTTCCAGGAACCCACCCTGGTGCGCTGGTCACAGCAAGCGTCACTGTCTCCTCTCCTCCCACCTCACTCCGGGATGCCGGGAACAAAAGCGAATTTCCTTTTACCTCTCTCCTCCCCCTATGTTGATCACACCTTTCTGTTTCTTGGTGCTGGATGTGGGCGGGGTCCCTATGAGGCGGGAGGAAACAAGGGATGAAATTGGACCGCAGAAGATTGAAAGAAAAACCCTTTTAGTTCCTCCCTTTCTTTCTGAATACGCCCAGATTTTGCCTTAAGAGATCTCTGACCATGATCAAGGAAAACCAAGTCTCCTGTGGTTGAAAAGGCTCTCCACCCTTCGCAAATTGAGAAACACTTATCAGCCAAGTCTTGGTGCCTAACTAGTCCCTAGATGCTTTCCTCCAGGCGTGTCTTCGGCTCCAACAGAAGCGTTTGGAAGCGGACTTATCCGCGCATCTTTGAGTGGCTCCCCAAACCTACCTCTGGGCTCAGCTCACACACCCGCTCGTGAAACATGCACTCACCATCATGGGCAGCCAAAGGATGACTTTCGTCAGCGCTAGGATCAAAGAAAAGCGTTTCTGTGCCAGGCTCACGGGGAAGCTGCTGGTGCCCTGGGGAGTCCCGGGATTCTCTCGCTTGCAGCCTCCAGAGCCGGAGACAGTAGACTGACCTGGACCAAGCACAGAGTCGGAGCTCGGGGAGCATCCTCCAGCACATCTAAGAGCTGGGGTCGCAACGTTCTCTGGCGACAGACAGAGCACTCTTCCCCCAGCAGCTGGGGTCCCGGGAGTGGAGGCGCCACGGGAAATTTCCTGGTAGTTGGCGTGGAGTCTCGGCGGCTCCTCGGAACACAGCAGCTGGTGAGTGAGAGGGATGGAGAGAACCGCCAGGAGCCCAAAGGCGGAAGCGTACACCGCGAAGAGGAGCAGAACGTAGGGACTGGAGCAGTCGGTCAAGCAGCCCCAGGGCGTGCGCACGAAGAAGCCCCAGCCACACAGTGGGAGCGCGGCCAGCAGCAGGCTGACTGCCCACACAGTCAGTACCACACCAAGCACCTGTCCTGATCGCAAGGAGGCTGACTGACTCGCCACTGTCCTGTGCATCGTATAAAAGTTGTAGAAGACTATAAGAGACGCCTTCAAGTTGCTGGAGAGGCCCTGGCACAAATACAGTAAGGCAGAGGTGGTGCATAAGGACTGGAAGTAGCCTGGGGTCTCTTTTGGCCACTGCAAAATCATGAAGACGGCCACTGAGAAGGCGCTCAAGAGATCATCCACAGACCAGGAAGCCACAAGCAAGGACACAACAGTTCTGTTTTGCATGGTCAGCAGGGAAAACAGTGAGAAAATGCTGCCCACCAGAGCTGCGAGAGTCATTAAACAGATCAGGCAGAAAAGAGAAAGAGTCAGAGTTGCTGGCGAATTCACAAGGTCCGTAGAATTATGACTTACTTTCCACAGGTCAGAGTCATTTGTTAAGTTGCTGAGAAGGAAAGACATTGTCCTTAATATTTTAATTCCCCTCTTCAACGAGTCTGATGGTTTTCTCAGAGCGTGAGAGTTGCGAGTCTGATGTCATTTCTCCTGCCAAGTTTCTCTAGATGCTCCATGCATTGGTCCAGCAGGAAATGGTTAGACATGTCTCAGTTAGAAAGATCTGACTCAGCCCATGTTTGAAAACTGGGATCTGTTTCAGGCATCAATAAGAAACTTTTCAGCATTTTAAGTAAACCAGCCAAGGAAAAACTTCATCCCACCACCACATTTCAAACAAGAAAGCAGAAAAGCCTCAGGCAGATTGCCAACTCCCCATGCCTGGATGCTGTGGGTCCTTCCTAAGGAGCAGGCTCTAGCTTGATGCAATCACTTGGGAGAACAATAAAATGATGTATCTGTTTCCAGAGCTGGATTCAAAGGCAGAGGTTGTCAGGTAGGTTTCGGCTCAAAGAGAGAGAGAGAGAAAGCGGGAGAGAGAGAGAGAGAGAGAGAGAGAGAGAGAGAGAGAGAGAGAGAGTCATAGGGAGCCTGAACACAGGCTCTCACCAAACCTTTGTGTTCTTTAATCAGCCTGTGATCCTGGGAGCTGCAGGAAGGAGGAGTCAGCTGCAAGCAGGAGAGAGAAGCAGGGACTAAGGGGAGAGAGAGAGTTCAGTGTTGGAACAAAATGATTTGTAGCTTCTCCTCTCAGCTTGGCTTGTATGAAACCAGGAACAGGGCCTTTTGATTTTGGCATATAAAACTAATCCAAATACTTGCTATGGGTTGGACTGAACTACGGAAATCACTATCCAACAGGTATAAGCTACACCCGTAGCTGAAATCCTTTCTTATCCTTTATCCAGGCTTTTCTTGTGTGAGAGGCTTTCCCTGGAGAGGTATGACATGTCTGTCGACTCACTTGTTCGAATCCACAGTTCCCTGACCAAACTGATGATTGCACCAAAGTCCAACTTGGTTAACTAATGAGTGTCTATGGGGGTTACTTATAGGAACAGGGCTGACTCCAAAACAGCAGCATCATTTCAAAGTCCATCCCAACACAGGTGACCAGTGCACAGGGGCATCCCAGGAACTCTCTGGACAGTATGCAGGCAGCTTGACATGTCTGAGACTCTCCTCTCGGCAGCCCAGCTGCCTAGAATCTCCTCTCCAGCCATCCTTTCTTCTTCTATTGTGGTAAGGAGGGGTCCACATGACTCTCCCAAGTTGAAGCTTTCTCAGATGTGAAGAAGTTTGTTTACCTCTTGCGTCTAGTGATCTTCCTTCCTGAAGGGAGGGTTTCAGTCCTGAGGAACCCAATGCACAGCTGGATAACACTCCATCTCTTCGGTCTGTGACTAAGCATGGGTAATATGTCACAGCCTCAGTCACTTAGGACGCTCACTAGTGGTTATGAGTCCCCAGAGTACACCATGTAGTGCAAAAGGAAGTTTCCTTCCATAGTAGATTTCCACTCAAAGCAACAGCGACCTATGGGCATAAGCACAAATGTTTAGGAGACAGTTTGGTAGGCGCATCACATCCTTTTAGTATAATAGTAACGGTTGTTTTTCTACTGGGGCCTATGACCTCTCCAGATGTGACAAATGTGAAATCCCAAATTGTTTGTTGTTTCCAGAATAGTAGTACCATTGTGGCACAAGCAAATACAACCTGCCTGGGAATTATTAATACTGTAACACACAGAATACACAGCCAAGCAATAGTGTTGGTGACCATGCTCTCCCAGCATGAATACTAGCTTCTGGCACTATAAGTCTTTAAGGAGGGGGCTTGAAGCTCAGTCCCAACTTTATTTCTCCATGCCCTGCAACCAAAGTGTGTTTTGTCTACAGCAATAGAGTCTTACTATCTAGTTCTGGCATGCTGCTAACAGCAACGGCAATAGCATTTACGGTCTGTGAACCTTCAGGGCCTACTCGATCAGCAGCCTGTAACAAAATAATCCACCTCCGGTACTAGAATTTTCATTTAACAAGCTTATAGCCTCTAGCAGTGTCCTTTTCCACTGCTAGTATGGTGTTGCCTATGCTTAAGCACCTAAAAATATGTATAATATTTTAGATTAATCCTTTGAGAAGTGTATGCTTGCATTCAGTATATTTCATATTCGTCCCCCACTCCTCCTAGATGAACCTTTCATCTCCCGACGACCACCTTCATGTCCTTTTAATTTGTTGTTAACTCACTGAGTCCAGTGTGTGCTGCTCATGTACTCATGCATATGGGGCCATCCACTGGGGTGCAGTCCACCTCCCAGAGGCCACACCCTTCCCCAGAAATCACCATCAGTGTTGCCTCAATTAGTGTTGGGGGGCTCATGAGTTCCCTCCCCTGCGTGTTGGAATGTTGACTGCCTTGTTATTGTTGGAGTCTTGTGCATGTAACCCCCACTGTTATGAGTCTGTGGCTACAGTGGTCCTGTTCAGTTCAGTCCTAGGTTCTACAGTCTTTCTGTTTCCACTGCACTGAGACACTTATCTAATGAGTAGAGGAACTGCACTATCCACGATGAAAGAGAAACAAATTTAGAGGGTAGCTTGATACAATGTCCATTTTATCAACTCTTGCTTTAACAGTCCATTCTTTCTTTTAATTAACCAGGTACCAGGGTGGTTGCATGTTGCATGGCACCTGGTCGTCTTTACCCCAGTTCTGCAAATCACACAACTAACCCTGTGGTCTGGTTTGAATGAAAATGGCCCCCATAGACTCACAGGGAGTGACCAAACCAGGCCTAGTAGCTCATGGTCCCTTCCTGCTGCCTACTGATAGAGGTGTACAACTCTCAGTTACCTCTCTAGCACCATGTCTACCTGCAGGCCACCATGCTTCTTGAGATGATGACAATAAACTAAACTGCAAGCCAGCCCCAAATAAATGGTTTCCTTTATGAGAGTTACACTAGTTATGATGTTTCTTCACAGCAATAGAAACCCTAAGACAAAAATTGATACTGGAGTCTGGGTACTGCTGTGATAGTCTGGACCACGTTTTTGTTTGGAAGAATATGAAACACTTTTGAATTTTAGAATGAAAAGCAAATGGACACCTTAAACAGGCCTTAGTGGGTCTTACTACATAGGAGCATGGAGGACAATTGTGGTAAGGGTGATTTGAACTGGGGCTCAGCTTAAGATGTTTCAGAGAAGAATATTAATATATGGCCTTGAGATCATTCTTGTGAAATTTTGGTGAAGAATGTGACTGCTTTCTGCCCTTTTCTAAAACAGCTAAGGGCCAGACATGGTGACTCACACCTTTAATCCTAGTACTTGGAAGGAAAGATCCGGTAGATTTCTGAGTTCAAGGCCAGCTTGGTCTTCAGAGCAAGTCCAAGGACAGTTAAAACGAAAGCGGGCAAAAATATATATGAACAAGGGAGTCATAGTCCAGGCCCAGCAAGCAACAGAACGTGGCGGATTCAGTCATATAGTTCTGGTCTTAGAGTCAAGGATACCAGAAAAGGCTTATGGAATTTCCCTCTGCGGCCAAGGAAAGCTGCTGAGGCCAGGCATATGTCGGGTGACTCTGTGTGGAGGCCTAAAGAGGCCATTGTGTAAAGCTGTGAAGGTGACGATTGCCTTGAGACTCCAAAATGTTGGAGACTCCAGAGTTGTGAGACAGAGACCTGAGGGGAGAGATGCTCACAGGGAGTGGAAGCAGTCCAAGAGACTGAAAGGAGTTGGAGATCTGAAGAGTGCTTTGAAATTAAATATGAAGATGTAGGGTTTGGAATTTTCCCAGCTCGTTTTTGGCCTTGCTTCGGTTTAGTATTTGCTCACTATGCTCCCTCCCTCCCTTTTGGAATGGTAATGTATATCCAGTGCCATTATATGTTGGAAGTATGGTATCTGCGTTTTTATTTTGGTTTTACAGGGGCTACAGTTAAGCGATTGCCTTGAGTCTCTAAAGAGATGTTGGACTTTGAAACAGGATTGAGACTGTCATAGACTATGGGGACTTTTGAAGGCGGACCACTGTATTTTGCATTATGATATGACTACAAGCTTATGGGGGCCAGGGAGAGGAATGTGGTAGTTTGAATGAAAATGCCCCCGCATAGCCTCACAGGGAGTGGTATTGTTCGAGGTGTGGCCTTGTTGGAGGAAGTGTGTCACAGGAGGTGGGCTTTGAGGTTTCAGAAGCTCAAGCCAGGCCTAGCTGCTCACTGTCTCTTCCTGTTGCCTATTGATCCAGGTGCAGAGCTCTCAGCTTCCTCTCCAGCACCATGCCCGCCTGCATGCCACCATACTTCTCTCGATGATGATGGACTAAACTACCATGAACTGTAAACCAGCACCAATTAAGTATTTTCCTCCATAAGAGTTGTGGTCACGGGGAATTTTCCCAACACTAGAAATTCTAACTAACACACCTTATCACAGTTTGCTTTCCATGAGTGGCCATACATAACACTGAATTGAATGAAACCCTTGATGCTACTCTCTGGCATAGGAATGCATGTAAGAGGCCTGTAGTAGTATTCACACCAACAAGGACGTATTTGTGTCCCTAAGTGACAGGACTATGGCCTTTACAATCTGCCAATCCCTTAAGGAAACAAGTTGACTTATGTATGTATTCCCTCCACATCTGTTGTCCACACTGAGGTAACAAGGCACACAGTCTGTCCTGCAGGGTTCTTAGCCCGGTTCAAAGCCTCTAGAGCCTCTCTGCCTTTTCACTAGGTAGCATTCCTCTTTATCAAGATGATTAGCAACTTGGGTAAGTGGGATATGAAAACCCATTAGTCTTCCAGGAACTTCAAGGATGCTTGCAGCTCTTTTATACTCACAGGCACAGACTTCAGTAGAATTGACCATAATATTTCCAGAATTTCCCAGCTGTGCCTGCCTTTGTTCCTTGTGTGATCTGCTCTCCCATCCCCCTTCTTTAGGTGCTCATGGGTGTCTTCTATACGCTTTCTATCTTTGCAAAAGACTCAGAGGTTGGTATTGTGTCACCTGTGTAATGCCTTTTCACAGAGCCTGGGCAGG